CACTTTATTTTCTACTTCCAACAGCAGTTTCAAAAGGCTATAGCATATTATTCACCTGGTAGAAATTTGCTACTTTTCCATTCGTACTAAAATCAAAAAGTATTGGTAATGCTATCCTTTTTTGGCAAGGGAACTCAGCTTCTGCCTTCTATTCCAATGTATTCAGTAATATCATTTTGACGGTTTGAGAAATGTTAAATGTTCCATCGTACTTAGAAAGAGACCCATTATAATAGAATTGTCTGGAAGCAATTTTTTTTGGTTTTCATTCCTATTTTGACTTGATCCTCTGGGTGAAGTACGATATTAGTTCTACATTATGTTCATCTTCTCTTTGATCATGTAATTCTGAAATATTTAACTTATAATTTTTTAAAAGCCTTACTGTCTTTCCCCGGTAGTAAGCCATTTACTTGTAAATAAAAATAGACTTGTTTTTCTTTCTAGATGGATCAGATCCTTGGCAATATAATTGAGATGTGGGTTGATCGAATGGATAACATTACACAGCCAGAGAGACGGAAACTTTCTGCATTGGCATTACTTTCACTCTTACCTTCAGAAAACAGGTAAGCAAGTACTCATTGGTGTAACAATTGTATCTACTTATAGTATTCCCTGTCTTGAGTAAGAATAGTGCTTATTTGAGTTTTCAGTTGAACAGTATTGAGGTGATTATTATGGATTATTATCTGTATTATTTACTGTAAACTTCATACTTTGCAATGTTATCGTTCATTTTGCGATTATTTGCCATTTACAATTCAAAACTCCATTTTTGAACAGGACATCTGGAGAAAGTGAGATTCTGAATTTGCAGTATGTGTTGATTTTTGTGGCAATTATCATTTGTACAATCCTTGTTAAGACTTGGTAATTTGGTAATTTAAATCAAGAGGTAAAGTTCAAAGACTTTTACTGCATTCCTCAATTGAATCCGCCTTACTTTTGTCAGCCGCAAATACTCTAAACTACTCGCCCGGAAAGTGTCTCCTTTTAACTCTGAAAAGACTGAAAATAGCTGTCCATTTTGAATCTTCATTCTCGAGAAAAGCTTTTGGCTGGTTCCAGCTCATGATAACCTTTGTCCTTTCCAAGCTCCTAATCCCAGAACTGACTTTTCAGTGGGGTTATCTGGGAGATATGTTGCATGCGCCTAAGCAAAATGGATCTTCCAGACTCCTTAAATTGTCACAAACTCGATCTCTTCAGTCTGAGTGTGAGTTTTTTCCTTCTCTGCCTTCTCCCCCAATTCATCATGGCAAAAAATATACCTATCATTGTCACTGCTTCAGTGTACTAGCTGCCTCTTAGATGGCTGCAGACTGAGAATTTGGGAGTTTCTAGATATCTCAGAAAACTTAGCAGCAATACAATGGCTTTCTCTATGCTTTGCTTTCCCCAAAGCTTTGTATTCAAGTAGAAGTACAAATTAACTATCCTGTGTGCCACAAACTCCATGCTGTGAAAGAAGTCGATAAATACTTCATAAATGGCTAAATTATAAAAACTGAAATTGATAACTTCTCTCTGTGACACTTGGAGATAGCAATCCAGCCACAGTCAACACAACTGCTGTTGTCGATAAATGCAAACATCTTGCCCCATCTCAGCAAGTCTCACAACATTGACTCTTCTTGTTCCTATAGCAATCAAGGTTTGTTGTTGGACAGAAGTCAGAGCCAGTCACATGAGCACTTTGCTGCAGTTATACTTCAAGTTAACGAGACAGTCCCCAAATATCATAAAGTATTAAACAAATACTTTAATGTCAGGTGCTAAAAATGGATGTGATTATTTCACAAAACAAGGACGTATATACCTTTGCATTTAAAAAATAAATGGATTATACTGCTTCTGTTTACCCTTGGTTCATAATGATCTGAAATCTAAGGAGTCATTAGATGATTTCAAAACAGTGACTCAGATTTTGTGTCACCGGCAAAGCAATGGAGCTCGCAGCTGACCTCTGAAGCTGCCAACAAAGGTTTGGTGTTGCTCGTAGCATATATTTTGCTTTTCCTAATGTTGATTTGAACCTAATGCCAAGTCAAAGGAATCTCCAGGCATTTATTAACAGTGATGTTGTCAAGCAGAGTTCTCAAAGTAGTGACCCAGGAAGTAAAGTGCACTGCTTAACCTTCAATTATACATTTTACAGTGACTGGAATAAAGATTGATAAGTGCCTACAATAAACAGAAACATCATAAGCAAACTTGTTTGATATTTCTGTTACTTTAAAGAATGGAGCTTTTCATCATAGGAAAATTTAGCATTACAAACATAAAATTAGTTTTTCTGCGTTATGGAGGTTCTTGAACAGCTTGATGACTTGGTATGCTGTTACAAATCTAGTTACACTTCAATGCAAGGTAATTTTTTAAGGATTTAGAGGGGAAATTTATCAGTTCAGTGATTTCTAATGATTGCCATTCACAGAGGCGTCAGCAGCAGACTCTGTGGAAGAACAGAGAAACACTGACAGTAACTTTTTGAATTTGCAAATGCAGATACATGACATTGCTTTTCATTTCACAAGATAACAATGGCAAGCAGTGCTGCCAATGCTGTCAGAATAATGTTCAAAAAAAGCCTTGCTGTTATTTTTGCAAACAGCACATGCATAGAAGTCACCAGGTGATAGCAGGTCATTTTTTGGATAATTTATCATCAGGTTACAATCATTACCACTCCAGGCTCAATGTTGAGTTCACTGATTCTTACATCAGAACACTGCTTCATTTTGTTGCATGTTTTTATGCCCGTTTGGTTTTTCTTCATTTCTTTCTTCTGTTACTTGGCATTCAGACTGCTGCTATTGAGCCACTCACTCCTTATCTAGACATATCTTTATTCTCCTATTTCATCTATGCTGGGGGTGATTGGCTACTGTGGCTGCATTTGTTTGATTTTAATTAATATTCACAGCTTGTTATACTATTGCTTTCTGTATTTAATGTAATAGAAATAATGTGAAAATACTGTATGAATAGACTGGTTTTTATGATAACATATTATCCTAGTTGACTTCATATTTTGTCACATTCTAGTGAAGTAGTATAATGCCTAACGTTGTAAAGCGAGCTAGAAGCACTGTAGACTGCTGCTGAAAATAAATAGAGCTTGAATCTTCCATATTTATTATTTCATCAATACCTTGACAGCTGATGAGATCACAGAAGTACATGCTTTGATCTTGCCATGACCCATTGGCAGAGATGGTTACATTGTCTGTAATTTGTGGACAATGATGTTGTGTTGCTGAATCTCATAGTTTGATGTTTTTGTAAGTTTGTGATGTGATTTAAACCAGCATTGAAAGAAATACGTGTTGACTGCAGGTTCAACAGCTGATATTTGTTTCTCCTTTTATTCTGTGTACATATTAAAATAAACTTCATTGTTAACTAATCACCATAGATGTTTTTCTTTGCACACTGAATTTTGTGATTGGTGTATGTATAAGTTTGCAGGCATTAGAGAGAGCTTGCAACTTAAGAATTTATTTAACAGGAATTTAAAAGGAAAGCTAAACTCACTAATGATTTTTGGTTTTAACAATTTGGATGAGAAGATAGGAGACATAGTTAGTAAGTTTGCGGATTACACCAAAATCAGTGGTATTGTGGGTAGTGAAAAAGGTTATCTAAGAGTACAATGGGATCTTGAGCAACTGGGTCAGTGGGCCAAAGAATGGCAGATGAGATTTAAATCAGATAAATTCCACTATCCAGTAAAGGTGACCATTGATGATGGCCATAGGAAGTTTGAAAGTTTTCATCTTTATGCTTAATGAAGAAAGAGCAAGATATTAAAAACAGTAAATAGACAAAAAAAAACTATATTACATGTCTTTAAACCAAGGAACTAGAGTTTTTAAAAAATTGAGAGGACAGATATTTTATATTTTGAAATTGCTATCTGATAATGTCACAGGAACATTTATGGAAGAATCCATCATTTTTCCTGATTTCTTGCTATACCAATTAAACTTAGCCCTGCTGAGAACTATGCTAGAGCTTACACTGAAGTAGGTGTAGAATACCTTAATTAAATCTTTGTATTGGTGTTCATTTACCCTGAGTAAGGGAAGAACTACATCGGCATTGTTACTGATGGCATATACTGTAAAAACAGTGACAGTGAGGAGGACTTTAGAGGCAGTCACCACCACCTAAAAGTGAGTGAGATGAGGTCCTGGTGACAGTCACCAGCACATAAGAGTGACAATGAGGAGAACCCACAAACAGTCAACATGGTGTAAAAGAGTGGGAGAGAGGGAACCGACACCAGTGAAAATAGTGTGAGGAGAAAAGGAAAAAATTCTTGAGCGATAACACAAGAATTTTTGAGTTGCTTGATTGGTGAGCAGGTGCTTTAAGAACTGTGCTTCAACTTCAGCACTTTTAAACAAACAAATTTCTAACCTGGCAGAGGGCAAGAACGAACTTATAAGCACAGAAGGAAGCCGATTTGTGAGTAAGGGCAAAGAGTTTCTACTTTCTGCTAATCTCCAGATTTATGTAAATGGTATAAGATTAAGGTGGAAGTAATTAACGTTAGATTAAGAGAGGTAGCTTAAAAGTATGAGGTAAGGTCTGGCAGAACAGCTCAATCAAGAGACATGACAAACCCATATACAGAAAGTGTTACTTGCTAAACGAACTTGAGCTCCAGGTTTCACGTCTGATAGATACACTGAGGTGCATCCTTGAAGCAGAACGCCATGGATAGCACGTTCAGTGAGGTGGTCAATCAGAAAATGGGGACCTGGGGCAGAAATGGAATGGCTGACTGCCAGACAGCCCAAGACAAACAGTCAGGTAGTGCAGGAGACCCCAGAGGTCCTGTTCACTAACCAGATATCTGCTCTAGATATCGGTGAAGGCGATGGAGCCTTGAAAAAGTGCAACGAGAGCCAATCCTGTCCATCATAGGTATGTGTATATTCAAACAAATCTGTGGAACACCAGTGGGATCCCCGATATCAGGACTAATTGCAGAAGCAGTAATACAAAGCTTAGAATGGACGGCGCTCCCCACTATCCAACCCAAACTCTGGGTCCGCTATGTAGATGACACCTTTGTGATTATCAAACGCACAAGACTAGAAGAAACCCACCAACACATAAACAACATCCTCACTGAAATAAAATTCACAAAAAAAAAGAGAACATTAACCAACTGGCCTTCCTAGACGTAACGTAGAATGTAAGAACAAGGGAAGCTCCAGAGTAGCATAAACAGAAAGACCATACATATGTACCAGATACTTAATTACTCCAACACCCCAACACCCATAAATGGAGCTGCATCAAGACATTATTCAAACAAGCCACAATGCACTACATTACATAGGCCAAACTGGAAGAAAACTGACAATAAGGATACATGAACACCAAATAGCCACCAAGAGACACGACCAGTTCTCACTGGTCTAAATACACAGACAAAAAAGGACACGATTTCAACTGGGATAACACATCCATAATAACACAAGCCAGAGACCTGCCAGGGAATTCCTGGAGGCCTGGCTTTCCAACCAGAACTCCACCATCAAACACATTG